TGCTCAGTTTCAAGGCACTCCCTTTGTTGACTCAGCCAGTATCGGAATCCTCGGCGTCGACATATCGACTGACGTGCAGTTTCGTGGTCACTTGGAAGCGAAGGCAAAATTGAACTCTAAAAAGCTTGGCGTGTTCAGCAGAGCGGGACAGTATTTCATGCCGGCTCACCGCCTGCAACTTTACAAGGCGCAGGTTCGGCCGCACATGGAATACTGTTCCCATCTCTGTGCCGGGGCTCCCCACTGCAAGCTCCTTCCATTTGATCGCGCAGCAGATCCAGCGCAGAGTAGTTCGAATCGTTGGCGACCGAGCTTTTTCCGATCAGCTTGAGTGAGTCAAGCACTGCGAAGAGATGTTGCATCTCTTTGTGTATTTTATCGCATCTACCACGGGGAGTGTTCTGAGGAATTGTTCGGATTAATTCCAGCCGCACAGTTTCACCCTCGCACATTGCGACAAAACTCGCGATACCATCCGTACCACCTGGATGACTGGCGGTCCACCACTAAGCGATTTAAAAGAAGTTGTCTTCCTCGCCCAACTTCCTTGTGGATTAAACGACTAACAGAGAATTTTCCGGACCGATACGACTTAGGAACCTTCAAGACGAGAGCCTATTCCTTTTTAAAAGTTCGGCAACGCATCTGCAATCCCCCTGGTGTTGTAGCTGTTCATGGGCGGCGGTAATCACTTACCATCAAGTGATCCGTATGCTCGTTTGCTCCCTCTCCTATAAAAATGACTGTAGTTTTTATAACGACTGTAGTTTTCAGTTAAAATACCCAGTTTATCAGAAAACTACTGTAGTTTTTCTGGAAAAATACTTTTCTTCTGGCAACATTGACTGTTTCTACTTGTGATCAGTGGTGCCTAAAAGACGATTTTTTGTCTTTTAGGCTATCTCCTAGGGTGCCAGTACGACTAAAAATCACGGTCGTAATTTAGGCTACTTCGGAAAAAGACAAGGGCGATTTTCGGCTATATAATTCTCTCTTTTTAAGTAATTCTTTTAGGATCACAAACTAATATGGTTATATTATGTAAACGTACTTAGGATATATAATAGAAAAGCGTGTCATGAAACATAAGTATGTTTTTGACAACAGAGAAATTTCAAAGAAGACTAGATTTTAAGGTTAGAAGACCTAAGAAAAAGAAGTCTTCTTCTTAGGTAATTGTAAAGGTATTAAAAAGTTAATCTTAATATATGTGAAATATAAAGTTATATGTAGTAATATAAAGACCAAAACAAATGTGTTTGCATTGTTTGCCCTCGCCACTGTTACTCTATTTAGTTATTGGTAAATTATTTCGTTTTGATTTGTGAAGTATTAATAATGATAAACAGACAAAATACATATTTTATATATTGATCTTTTCTTTCACGTTTACCATCAACTGCTTCGAATTTTATGTTGTTAAAATTATAAAAAGGTCGATTAGGATAGGTTTTCGTTTAAAATAGCCTTCATAAGCTACCCGAAACTTCAATTGGCGATTTTAGGCTACATTAAACAAAATTGGGTGAATTTAGGCTACTTGGTGTCAAATACGTTAGTACTCTTATTAGTTTGTGATGTCAAATTAGGCGACTCATTCCGGTATAGACTTGGCAACACCGCTTGTTATTAGCTTTTATACCGTAGACCACTGACCTCTATATATACAAGTAGAGGTCAGTGCCGTAGACAGAGAAACCTATAGACCGTATATAGACTATTGATTAGCGTGGCCTCGAGTGAGAAAGGACTATAACGTAGTTTTAGGTTATACAATAATCTTTATGACTTTTAAACATATATAGATAAAAAATTTAATTGTTCTAAGAACTGAACTGAACAAGATTCACTAATCTTAAGCTCCCAAAACACTTTTTTTTCACGTAAACCAACTTGTAAACTCCTTAGATCGCTACGAACTGTCAAAGTTATTTAGCAAAGTGTAGTTTGCTAAACAAAAAAAAACCGGCACGGAGAAAGGGACAAACAATCACACCACTCTGTCTCATTTTTATACAAGACGTATGCATAAATCTATCTTTTCCTGTGCGAATGTGAAAGAAGGCGTCAATTTGTCTAATGTCTATAGGTTTCTCTGTCTACGTTTTATACATTTTATACATATTATAGTTTTTACTACGTTTTATACATCTATTTATCTAATATCCATTGAATACATTTTGGAGGTGGGCAAAGTGTTTTATTTTTGCGAATGGAACATTTGAATTTCGATCACTGAAATGTTCCGAAACACTGATTACATTTGGGTCATTTGGATCATCAACTCAAAAGATATAAAATACAGAATGGTACGAATACATTTAGTTGCATCGCGGGCGTTTATTACTGACTGATTCAGTGAAATGTTATGTGGCAACAATGCTCAATAATATTAGTGCTTAGGTTATTTTTATTGTTATTTATTGTCTACCGTAAACCGTAATAAGGTTGTATTAAAAATCCATTCTCCTTTATACTTTATCCAGGCTTCGGACTGGCAACTAGTTCTTAATTTATGTCCAGCTGGCGTATTATTTATGATGAAAAGAAAGAAAGTAAGTCACAATAATCACTACGCAAAGAAATCCTAAATAGAACTCAGTATGTTTTCGTAAACAGACGCGAACGACCATAAACAATTTGACGAGTGCCGGATTAACGTAAAATGATAACTTGTTAATGCAAACATTATATGCAAAAAAAAACGACCGTATAGTATTTAATACGTAAGCGCCTTAGTGGTAATTTTACGTGCATAAATAACAAGAGCAAAAATCCGTACGTGTTGAGTGATACACTTCTCATTTGTTATCTCTTTCTGATTAGTGTAAATTGTAATTATTTCGACCGCTCTCTCGCCACCCTCTCGCTCGCGGCTCAGCGATTCGTCGCGCGAAAGAGCACAGATCAAAGTAATGTTTCAGATCCAAATGATGCATTTGAAATGTTGTTACTGAACCAATCTTTTGAATCACTTCAGTGGTTCGGATCAGTGAGTCGGTTCTGTAAAGAGTTTTACACACGCCTATAATAAGTACATTTTATAAACTAGAACATAGAACATACAAAGGTACTCTGTAACTGGAATTAATATCTATGCTTGTTATCAGCACAGAGTACTTTTTGTATACCTGAAAGTAGCTTGCTACATATTTATTTATCTATGCCTGAAAGCTATCAGAGTTTACGACCCACCCAGGACTTTCGGAATTTTAGTAAATAATCGTGAGTATATAATTATCATAAATATAAATTTAATGCTATTTTATAAGTTTAGTAAATAGTTATTATAATAAATAGTTTATTCAGAACATCGTTCGCCGGAAATCCGTAAACTTAGTGTTATGTAAGAAGGGATGTCAAAGCAACTCAAAGGGAATTTCAAAGAATGTGATTTTTCCATCATAATTACTATAATGTAATTACTCATTTATTTTTTGCTTTTAATTTGTTCATCAATTTTTGCTTTTTAATACAAGGAGAGATTTTTATTTCCAAATAAAAAAAATAACCTTCAAGTACTCCGCAAAATCTGTTACTAACATTTCTCTAGTAAATTACTACAAACAATTAGAGAAATAAGAGCTTAATTGTGAAATTTATAAGACAGTTAAGAAGATGCGCTTTTATTTATCATTAATTTTGACCATTCTAATTTCAAAATTATTATTTGCTTACTTATAACTAGGTAATATGTAGAATATTATGCAGGTACATAAATTGTTTGGATTGTATGTGTTAACTAAATAAAATACGTATTTTTTTAATTAACACATATAAGAGTAATACAATATAAATTGCAGGCAAATTTTCCCAACAGGAGGACCATGTCCAGCTGTGAGCAAATTATCTTGTCCTGCCATATTTTTTCTTATTAGCTTATTTATTTTCTTGCACTGAAATCTCTTGTAAAGGAATTTAGTATAGCAACTATTATTTATTGTTTTGCAAACCTCTATATAATTAATGGGTGTGTCAGTGTGTCATACTGCAGTGAAATTTTATTGATAAGTTATAAGTACTTACTTTTAATATTCAGTGGTGTGCGAATATTCATTGTTACAAGTCCATGCATATGGACATGGTAGGTTTGGATGAATTTGTTCATTGATTATCAGGGTGTATATGGTTTTCTGTGTATATGACATTGACGTTTGGGAATATATTTCACATATTCTCCCTTATATAATTGGAGAGTAGAATAAATGCTGTAGAAATGCAGTCATTAAGGAGTATATTAGGGCTGATTCTGAATGATAGTATGAGAAATTGTGTTATAAAAGAGTAGTTGGCAAGATGATGTTGTGACCTGGATTAAGAAAGGAATGCTTCGGTAGTTTGGTCATGTAGAAATAATGAGAGGAAAGAGTGACAAAACAAATCTATCTTGCAGAAGTGAACTGCAGAGTCAGGATGGCACATCCTAGGGATAAATTTATCAACCAAATTGTCGATATATTGAAAATAGGCCAAATTAAAAGAATCCTTAACAAATGAGCATGTATGCCTAGGTATATAGATCTAAAGGAGGTGAGAGTTGTGTGTCAGGATCGTGCCAAATGAAAGTGTGTAGTCTCTGCCTACCCCTCTGAGTGACAGGCATGAGTGTTTATGTTTTTGACCCTTAAAAAAGTTCCTATATGCTGGCATAAGAGCTAATTTTTCAGAAATGCATTACTACTGGCATTTTTTTGTAAAGTGTCAAGTATATCCAAATCATCTGAATTATTTTTAATAAAATTCATCAGTATACATCAGGATGATTGCCATGCCCAATGTGTCTGTTGCATGGAAATTGAATTTTGCTTCAATTTCATTCTAAGGTATTGGTTATATACTGTTTATGTTGTGTGGGTCTTAGGATTAACCTCTTAGGATTTATGATCTGGATTGGTAAACTCATATCTTATTCTATTTCCAAGCAGTAGTATATTCATTAATGTTCTGACGAATGAGGGAGCCTGTATATTTACATGCTGAAAGACATTTCATTTCAGCCAATGGAGGTGAGGATGAGGAATCTTACCATAAGGTGTACTATCACCTCCTTAATTACACTAATTAATTGTAAATATTTAAATACTTTAGTTTCAAGAATACCCCTAATATGTATATATATATATATATATACATATTAGGGGTATGAGGAAAGGATTCTTGAAACTAGAAGAAAGGGAAGTATATATATATATATATATATATATATATATATATATATATATATATATATATATATATATATATATATATATATATATATATATATATATATATATATATATATATACTTCCTATTATGAAATGAAACGAAAATCTAAACTTCCTATGAAATGAAATCAAAAAATAATCTAAAATTAAGATTGTGTATTTAAAATACTTAACACCATCATCTTTTTTGATCTTCTTCATAGGTTTCTATGTTTGAAAAAATAAAAAGAAACTGCACAGGCTTCACATTGTATTGCCCAATGCTGTTGACTACCTCATTGATCTATTGGTTGTAAATGTCTGGGTTTGAATCCCTGATCGGGACAAAAAATCAGTCATTGAGTTTTTCTGTCAAGCAATTCTCAGTAACATCTGGATGTTGGTGGTGCATCAGCCATTGCATCTCGGAAAGCACGAAGGATGTTAGTTCTCCGCCTGATCTCCCTCTCCAGTCATGTTGGATTACTGTCCCATTGGACTATTAGAATAAAGGAATAGAATGAGCACCTGTGTTAGTGCACACTAATCCTGTGTCATGTGCATTCTGTTGATACTGGCCGCTGTATCCAAAATTCAGTCTAGAGGATATTATTATCACCTAATACTGAAGGTGTAACCTTCAGTATGGAAATTATTTTATTTATACCTTATTTACATAGCATACAAATGAAATATTTGGTTTTATAACTTTAATAATTTATTGCATACTTCTTAAAATCTATGTTTTGATAACTTATATAGATGGCAGACAAGGCTGTGTCGACTGTCGCCAAGCCCCAGATGCGGGGCCTCCTCAATGCTGTCATCAAACGCAACTTGATTGTGGCCCTAACTCTGGCTGGTCTGTCTGGCTTTGCATTCAAGCAGCTGGTTGGTAATGAACGCAAAAGGCGTTACGCGGAGTTCTACAGGTGAGTTGTAATTTAAAGCAAGGAGAGCTTCATAAACATAATTTGACAGTAATCACAATGTCCTAGCCTTGTGTAATATTATTATAAAATGGATGCATGAAACAGTCTGAAAATACTGTACTTAATATAAAATCTTGAGTTGATTTATACATTTCTAAAAGGATTTATTATGAAAGTAAATAAAATGTCTAATTTAAATAAAACTAGTTCTTCCCGACATTTTGTTACGTTTACAAATATAAAATAAGTAATATGTGATATGTAATGTTCAACACTTGAACAAAAGAAACCAATATGTTTAATTAAAATGCTCTCAATTCCACTTATTATGACGTTTTTGAGCTCGAAACGTCATAATTATGGAAAACCATGTTTTTATATTTTTTGTTTTATATTGAATATTTCACGAACCTATCAACCGATTTTGATGTGATTTACGACAGTTATCCATTTTTTTTCAGCTTAACAAAAGCCTTTAAAAAAAATTAATTTCGCGGAAATGGGAATGAAGCTGCTCGCATCCGTAGGAATTACTTGAATCCTGTGCTAAATGAGCAGCACTGCATACTAGTGGTAGGTTGGTCCTCTACTAGTCAGAGGCCTAGCGAAGGATTAGTGACCACCCACTTGTTGTCAGTTGTGGTGCTCATAAGAACCGGTAGCGACTCTCTCTCTCAGCTATGGAGGTTAGCGGGATCCGAAGCACGGTTGCACCGCTGGCCAAACGTAGATAGTTGGAGGTCCAATTAATGAGCCAGCCACTCATGAAAGGCTGACCCGCCATCTCACGAAAAATACTGGGATGGTTCCACCATGCTGGTTGGCTACCGAAGGAGTGGGCCAGGTGGGGATTTCCAGAGGGGTCCGTACCATCGATGTTGTGGCTCTGTTTGCGTCTCTAGGTTATATGTGTGATGCCTCGTCTAACTGCCATTCTCTCAACCTATTCACAATAATAAAAAAATTAAAAAGAAGAGTAAGTTTGCACAGCAGTTGCCCTCCATCTCCATCAAAGTGCACCTCACAAATATTCGAGGCCTGCACTGTAATCTCACTGCAGTCCACTACCACCTTGAGACTGACAAGCCGCACTTACTGTTCTTGACTGAGACACAGAACAGATGTCCTCTAGATGCGACGTACCTTGACTACCGTGGGTACACATTGAAGTATAATTTACATCAGCGCGCCAGAGTCTGTGTTTACGCCGCAATGACAGCCGCTGTAAGCGTGTCCGTCACCTTGAAGACCCCAGTTTCTCTACGATCTGGGTATTGATAGATACAGGAATGGATAAAATTATTTCTTCTTGTGTCTACCAGGTGACCAAGAAACAACTAGGCTATTTAAACACCTCAGTGAAGCCTCTGTTGTGGCTTTAAATTGGAATCCAAATGGACAGTTGGTTTTTCTGTGGACAGTAGCAACCGCGTACCACCTCAAGTACCTCACTGCGGTACTTCTATGTCAGAGGTCTGTATCACCAACAAGGAGGTTCTTAAAACCTTGCGAAGTCAAGACGTGAATAAAGCTTGTGGACCTGATGGTATACCAGCCATAGTTTTAATGATCTGTGTACCTGAGTTTTCATTCCCGTTTCACTCCCGCGTCTCGGAAAGCACGTAAAAGCCGTAGGTCCTGCACCTGATCTCTCTTTCGGATCTCTGTTTCGGATTATAGTCCCATCGGACTATGAGAGTGAGGGAATAGAGAGTGCACTTGTTCTTGCGCATAAACTCTGGCGCTTAAATCTTATCCTGCGCAGATGGCTCCATTGAGTCTTTTTTTTATAGAATAAGGGTGACAAACGAGCACACAATCGACCTGATGAAAATGGATGCTGTGGCCCATAGACATCTACATTTATCCTGTATTAAGAATCAAAACGCAGATGCGTTGTCACCCCTGAGGACTAACATGGAATCCAGTAAAAAAAGGGTCACCGGATCTCCACACTCACCATACGGAAAAAGCTGCTATTTTACGTTGGTATTCTGTGAGAGCGTGGTCCTTCCTCGGTCAAGCCGACCCATTCGTGCTACAACCATAATATTGCTGCAGCGTGGTTCTACTATGTTATAAAACTGGCCGTACCCGAAATTCGGTCTGGAGGATATTATTACTATAATATTGTGAACTGCAACTACGATCTGCGTTGTACATTTATTTACACATTGCGTATATGATGCTTATCTATTATATATTTATATATATTATCTTGTTTCAGGAATTACGACGCGGAGAAAGAGTTCGAAGAGATGCGCAAGAAGGGTCTGTTCCAATCGTGCTAATTTGTGGACAATATTATTGTAGTATTATTGTTAATTTGCTGTGAATAATGTAATTTAATAACAAAAATCCATTACCATTTAGTCTGTTTTATTACTTTCCATTCTCAAACAAATAGTATATATATATATATATATATATATATATATATATATATATATATATATATATATATATATATATATACAGGGTCATTTTTAATTTACTAAAGACCTTTTGGGAATATAATGGTGGCATAATTACAAACGATTTTACTCTTTCGAGTACTTAGCGAGATCACTCTTTACAGAATGTAATACATTTACATAAAAGCTACTTTTAAGTTTTTGTTGTCATGTCTGACTCCTTTTAAGTCTGTATTTTGTAGTACCTAAACAATTTTAGAATATATAGTCACATAAAATGCCTTTTTTATTTTACACTTGATATCAGTATCACACATCATGTTGAAAAATCAATATACATAATTAGATAGGCAAATAACATAACAAAAATCACAAATATTAAAATGAGCAATAGGTAATTATAAAGTAACCTCTTCGACGCGCCGCCGCGCCGGTCGACGCTCGCGCTCAGCTGATTGTGTCGCGAGTGCCTACTGCCCACAGAGTACTTCCGAGGAACCAACACACGTTCCGACTGAGCCACGGAGGCATCCGGATGTATTAGACATCGTGCTCACTAGAAACGTCAACTATCCGATAGTGGTAGAAGTGCTGTACGACCTTCCTTCACAGCACCTCCCGTTACTGATAACCCTTGGCCTAAAGGCAGTGACTACGCCGCCTAGAGCTTTTAAGAGCTTTTAAAACCCGTGTCGACTGGAGGCTCTACTGTCAACACCTTCAGCAGAGACCTCCAGCACACCAACCTATAAGCACAGCGGACGACGTAGAGGCCGCTGCCACCAGAATTACCAACAACATCAAGGAAGCCCTCCACGCGGCTTCTACGGTCGTCCCGATTACAGCAAGGCGAGACGATGCGGTAATATGCGTGCAGATCAAGCGCAAAAGAGCGCTGAGAAAGCTCTGGGCGCGTACTCGCTGTCCCAGAATTATGACACAGCTGAACACCTTATCGGAGGAACTGTCAGTTGCAGTCCAGGCCTTCAAAGGAGAGGCCTGGGATCGGCGCATCCAGAAGGCGGAAGAGCATGATGCGTCGCTCTATAAACTGAACCGGCAGTTGACCAAATCCAAACCTCCCGTTTGCCCGTTGACTGACAATACGGGACGATGCTACGATGCCAAGGGCAGAGCGGATATCCTAGTCGAACACTTCGAGGAGCAATTTATGCCGAACACAGCAAGTGCGGAGTTTATGGAGCTTCATGCCCGGAAGGAAAGTCGCGTACAGGAGTTCCTGTCGTCGCCCGCGCCGCCTCTTGCAGGAGATTGGTTCATCTCCCCCCGCAGAATTGCGGAGGACAGTAACCTGCCTGCAACCGAGGAAGGCGCCGGGGCACGACGGGATTACCAACGCTGCACTCCGACAGCTGCCCAATAGAGTCATAGTAGAGCTTGGTCGACTCTACAATGGGATATTGCGGACATCCCACTTCCCGGAGGACTGGAAAAAAGGCAAAATCATCGTCTTGCCGAAACCCGGGAAGGACAGGCGTAGAGCTGCCAACTACAGGCCGATCACGCTATTACCACATATAGCTAAACTGTTGGAAAGATTGCTGCTAAGACGTCTCCGTCCGTGCATCCAACTTCGGGCGGAGCAGCACGGATTCAGGAGGGGTCTAGAGTGCTGCACCTGCTTGCGGCAGAGTACAATCGTGGCCGCATATCGTTGGGCGTCTTTCTCGATATCGAGAAGGCGTTCGACCGGGTGTGGCACGCAGGATTATTATATAAGCTGAAAGAACAGACCAGTGTCCCTCTTGCTATATTGCGGTTAATAGCGTCTTTCCTGGAAGACAGGAAGTTCTACGTCTGCGTAGAGGACGCCGAATCCGCAACGAGAACCATTAAAGCCGGCGTCCCACAGGGCAGCTGTTGTCTCCAGTCCTGTACGCGGCTTACACCAATGATATACCTACACTGGCAGGCAGGCTTCAAGAGTGGGAGGACGACGTTGAGCTGGCGCTATTCGCGGACGATAGCGCCTATTTCACCTCGTCCAGAAGAGCCCACATAGCCACTGCCAAGATGCAGCGTCTGCTGGATCTGCTGCCACCATGGCTGGATGAGTGGAGGATGGTCGTCAACGTTGGTAAGACGACCGCTCTGCTCACTCGCCGTCTCAGGAAGTTTCCACCTCCGCTGACCCTCAACGGCCAGAAGATTGCGTACCAGAAGGCTGTAACCTACCTTGGGTGCAGGATCGACAGGACGCTGCGCATGACCGCGCACGTCGACTTCGTCGTCCGCCGGGGCCGATGTGCGCGGGCGACGCTCTTACCGGTCCTGGCATCCAAGCTGCCCATACGAACCAAGCTCCGGATATACAAGATGTATATCCGTACCATCATCACCTACGCTGCACCGGCCTGGTACGCACTTCTGAGCGACCCTCTGAGGCGGCGACTGCAGGCCCAGCAGAATCTGACATTAAGGACGATCGTCGGAGCAGGTCGCTACGTCCGGAACGACGTGATAGCGGCCGACTTGAAGATCGAGCACATCACCGACTTCGTGGCCCGGTTAGCGCGCGGCATGTTTCACCGTGCCGATAACGGGCCACACGAACACCTTAACGGCTTTGCGCCGTTACACACCCGGCCACTGGACGGGCGACCTCTTCCAAGAGAACTCCTCTCTATATGTGATTAGAGAGTTGAGTAACAACCCACAATGCCGCAGAAAGGCCAATTTAGACTTACCAAACAACCACCTTTTTCCGTAGTTGGATAACTACGGAAAAACAATTTACTATCACCACGGAAAAAACCCGTGTTATGCTATCGAGGCTAAAATAGGCTAAAAGACTGTCCCATAGTAATGGGATATGAGGACACCCGGGCAATGGGGGTTACCCCGAGGCCCGATACCTGCACTGTCCCACAGGACATTGTAGACGACATTCAACGAGTACTTTTTTATACTGCCTACTAAACTATTCACCACTGTGCCTATGGTACCAGGGCGCCACTCCAAATGACAAAGGGGGACGCACATTGACTTTTCATATACTCCTTTTTTTGCATAAAGCAATTTGATTGTCTATTTGATTATTTTATTAATTTGTTTACGAATTTATAGACATTTATAATAAACAATTAGGTAGTTTGTTACGATCACTGCCCAAGGCCAAGCCAAAGGTATACATTGACGTCGATACAGGCGTCATCAAAGGCGCCGCCTGCCCTTTTCGGTTCGCAGCACGTGCAAATTAAATGTCGAGTATTATTAGCTATTTTTTATTTATTAAATGCAAGTTGTATTTAAAAAATGGATGCGGGTTACAAATATTACAATAAAATAGTTATAATGATTAAATACAGATATTAACACACATTTTACAACAGTAATTGAATAAAAATATTAAAATACAAATTTATACATTAGAATTAGAGGTACTCGTTCGCGGATGGCGGTGAGTATCGCGCACATAGCGTTCAAAATAATCACCTCCACATTCTATGAATAGGTGACACCTAAAAGTTAACTGTTCACCGACACGAGATAAAAGTTGAGTATTCATTTTGATTTGATCGAATGCCCAAATTATTTTTTCTTTCAACATGTCGCGGGTTTCGAGTGTGCGACCAGTATACACTAATGTCTTTACATGCCCCCACAAATGAAAATCCATTGGTGTGATATCTGGCGATCTGGGAGTGTCGTGAAGTGACAGTTAAAAACTAAAGAACCTAACCTAACAACGAAACAAGCAAAAAAGAAAATAATTTATTTAAAATTTGTAAAGATATTTACAGTTTCTTTTATAAAATGTAAAGCCACAATTAAAAACTATAGAACCTAACCTATCAACGAAACAACCAAAAAAGAAAATAATTTATTTAAAAAATTGTAAAGATATTTACAGCTTTTTTTTATAAAAAAAAAGGTATGAGGGTGATGATGGGCTGTAGTGGTGATAGTGAATTACAATTTTTTAAAAAAAAAAAAGTTAATAAAGATAAATGAGTACGGAAACAATGTATGTACAGGCTATGCCTGTGGTAGATGCACAGCGCCTAATCTAGGTATACGCAGCGCTTGAAGTAGGCACACACAGCGACCAGAATGAGCACACACAACACCCGGAGTAGACACACACAGCGCCTGGAGTAGACACGCAGCGTCTGGAGTAGGTCCACGCAGCGTCTGGAGTAGGTACACACAGCGTATTGAGCAGGTACACGCAGCACTTAGAGTAGGCACACACACACCGCTCGGAGTAAGCACACACAACGCCCGGAGTAGACACGAACACACAGTGCCCGGAGTAGACACACACAGCGCCCGGAGCGCCGGAGACACGCAGCGTCTGGAGTAGGAACACGCAGCGCTTGAGACAAGCACGCTCAGCGGCCGAAGATAGCGCGGGCACTAATAGGTGGAGGCGTAGGCGTGGCTAGGCGACGACTTCAGGAGAAGGCTTGCAAGATCCCGAGGCAGTGCGGATAAAGCCTTTAAGAGGTGCTTCTCGTATCAAAGCTGAAGTGAGAACCTCTATTGGCCGATTCCTCGGCTTTTATACTTTTTGACGGATCTGGGATAAGAACGAGAAATTATTTGAAATTATTTAAATTAAAAGCAAATTTTTGTAAATGGCCAAGAAGAAAAGAGTATTTTTGAAGTAAAAACATCAGGCCGGTAACGATATTTGAATAAAAATTGCCATGACAACCAGATAAACAACGATGTCAAAACATGTCAAATTTTGGTTTTAGGCTCGTAATAGAGAAACGGCAAGATTTAAGTGAAAAATGAGATATTATTGATATAGGAAAAAAGGTAGCGCAACAGTGCGCACGAAGCCCGAAATTGCAGAGTTACGGAGAACTAAATAAAATACCGAAAAAGGTAGACTCCATTGACACCGA